GTTATAGACATCATAATTAATGATCAATGAACATCCATGTTTATAGCAGCATAACTCATAACAGCTAAATCTCAGAAGTGGCCTATATGTCTACCTACAGGTGAATAGATAAAGAAGACGTGGTACTTATATACAATAGAGTACTACTTTGACAAAAAGAAGGATAAACTTGAGTCATGTGTAGGAATATGGATGCATTTTGATCATAATGTTAAGTGAAATCAACCAGACATATAAGCTAAAATATCACATGCTTTCTCTTATATAAGAAAAGTAAATTATAAATAAATTAAATAGCAAAATAAAAGATGGATATTAGGAAACAGGAAAATAGATCTCTTTCAAATGTGAAAGATCAAGAAATGAGGGTAGGAAAAAGGTGGGAAGCAGAAGTGGTAAGGGGAGGGGAAAGGAAATAAGGGAAAAGAAAAGGTATGAGAAAAGGAAAAAATGGAAACAAAGTCTTTGTAAATAGGGAAGGGTGGAGGTGTGAAGGGAGGGCAGGGGAATGGGGAAAAAATGAAACGAAGACCTGTCATGTAAAGGTACAAGATCCCAATGATGAATGTAACTGTACTGTATACCTAAAATGTACCAGTAAACTCAATGGGAAAAAAAAGATGTTACGTACATGTACCAACTACTCATGATAAATGTAATCATTTTGTACTTAAAAAATATACTAATGGGCCAGGGATTTAGCTCAGTGGTTCCACTGCCTGCCTTGCAAGCACAAGAACCCAAGTTTGATCCCTGGTACCAAAAAATGTACTAATAAAAATAAAATTTTTTTAAAAGTTGGGGTGTGCATCTAGTTACTGAAAGACTCTGGGAGTAATAGGCAACTGGGCTTACAAACACTATCTGAACAACTTGGAGATCTTTGTAGCTCTATTTCCTCCAGAACAGCATCTACATGGGCATGTAGGCCAATGAAAAGATCTGTTTTTAAATTTCCTTGGGTCAGTACAGCTGAGTCTTCCAGGGAAGTTAAATCCAGTGTTCAATACAGCATGGAGTAAGGGGACAAGAAGGCCCAAAGATAGAGATCAGTCTGGTTTTCCTGTGAAGTCATTAATAATATGACATTGAACAGTGACCACTGCTTCACTACTCTCCTTCCCAGAAGCCCCTTGTAACAGAAATAGGAACAAGGAAAAGAGGAAAATTTGTGAGAAGTCATGTGGAATGAGTCCTAGGTCCTGCCTGCTAAAACTTCTCTGAATCATCTTTTCATTCCCTAGGCCCCAGACTCTTCTCTCCAAGAAAGAACTTGTTGAGGGATTTCAGAAGTGAGATTGAGAGACCACACCAGTCCTATTCCTCACCCCTTAATATCCATCTTTCCATGTGTGTTTAGAGAAGTTGTGCTTGGAAGGTACAGTTGATAAACTAGAGTCTTGCTAAAACCTTGTTTTGACTCAAAGTGTGGCTTGAGGACCAGAAAAATTGGATCACGTGGGAACTTGTTAGAATAGCAGACCCACAATAGAATTACTAAATCAGAATCCACAATTTAACAAGATCTCTAAGGAGATTCCATTAAGCCATCAAGTCGAAGATGTAATTTTCCAGAGGACCAGGGATAAGACAAATATCAGCTTGAAAATACAATGGAATTGGGAGTCAGGAGATCTAGGTGCTATTTTTAGTTTTGTCACTTATTGCCTGTACAAAATTGACCAAGTTGTGTAATCATCCTTATATTTTTCTAAAACTGTATGCTCCAATGGTCACAGAATGATGTAGAAGTCAATAGTGTGAGGTTTATTTACTTATTTATTTATTTAGTACCAGGGATAGAACTTGGAACCATGTGCTTGCGAGACAGGCAGCGGAACCACTGAGCTAAATACCTGGCCCCAATAGTGTGAGTTTTAGAGCTAAACTGCCGCACATTAAATCTTGATTTCATTTATGAGCAGTTGAAGCTTTGGGAGAGTTGCCTGACATATGTGGGCATCAACCTCCTCATCTGTAATACTGGGTATACTAATACAGAGCATCCTAGTAAGTTGAAACTAAAGAAATTAACAGAAATTACATACTCTCAGAAAAGCCCAAGCAGATATTACATCTTATTTTACTCTAGCTTCATAATGTTATCTTCAACAACACAAGGAAACCTCAAAAGAAGGGTCAATAGGGGACTACGTACAAACCTCTTCCGTTAGTGTTTATTGTCAAATCTCTTACTTTGATGTTTATCATGGTGTATATACTTCTCAACAATGGGCACAGTCACCCAAGACCAGAGCTCTAACTCGGAACCATCAGGCAGTCAGAGGATTGGCTTCAAACTACTGTTTTGAACCTGTCAATCAGTTCCCTTGAGAAGGATTCCCCATGCCCTTTGTCTTAGTCCAATTTGCGTGACAATAACAGAATGTCTAACTTTGGATAATGTATAAAAACAAGAAACATATTTGGCTAACAGGTCTGGAAGCTGGGGTGTACAAAGACACAGCAACAGGATCTTTTCAGAATCTAGTGAGGGCCTTCTTGCTGCATCATCCATGGCAGAAGGCAGAAGGACAATGGAGCATGAAAAGGCAAGACCAAGAGAGGGTTGAATGTTATAACAAACCCACCATTGTAAGAACGAACCCACTGTTTCTTGCAAAAATGGCATAAATCCATTTATGAACTGATCAACTTGGGAATGTCCCACGTCTCAACAATGTTCCATTGGCAGTCAAGGTCCCAACACATAAACATTGGGGAACACATTCAAACCACTGCAACCTTTTAACCATTCCAGCTTCACACAAGTCTGGATAATTCCCTCTCTCTGGAAATCCACAGGAGCAGCCAGAAAGAGAGCAATTCTGTCCAACCAGGAGAAGAGCATTTGTGGAGCCCCCTTTTCTTACAACAACTCATAATTTGAAGAGTGGGACATCATCAGAATATTACCTGATCACCTGTCACAAAACTCACTGGAGGAAAAGCCTCCAGGCACAGGTGATAATGTAGAGCCTCAGCAGAACACTACACCACAAGAAAGCAAACATGACCCGGCTGCTGTGTAGTGCAATTGCTCTGAACCTCTACTCCTCCAATGGGGCAAAGGCCCAGCAATGCCTCCCAGTAGTGGCTGCTTGGGTCTGGAAGTTTGAGATGCATGAACGGACAAGTCGTTTTGTGAAAGTAGGATCAACCTCAGTTTCAGAAGATCCATCCTACTTGAATTTTGAAAACAAACTGGATATCAATATGGTTGATAATATAGCATCGGGAATAAAGCAGATGCACTTCAACTCAATAAGAAGCCTAAATTCTGCAGTACAAAATATTTGCAGCTGAATATAAGTGGTAATCCTGGGCAAGGTCGGAGCCAGCCACGGGCAAAATTGTGCAAGGAGATGGTAACATGAAAATCCATAGGATGATAAGGTCTAGCAACTTCACCATTATGTTTCCTATAATATGTGAGAGGACAGTGGAAACCAGCACCACTTACCAGGTGTTTTGGACTTGGAGCTCCAGAGATGGCCCTCTGAAGGATAACACAGGCTGTTGAGGGCAAGTGATCTTCAGCTGTGGAGAAGAGACCAAAGTCAAAGGGATCGCTAAGTAGTGGATCCAAGCCATTTCTCCCCACGGATAAACAGATCGCAACAACCCAGTCTGGAAAAACCCATTCATGTATCCCTAAATTCATAGTTTCTAAGTCCCTCTTCTTGCTGTGCAAGCACCCGTTCTGCAGAATGAGGATATGGGGAGAGTCTAGCAAGGACCTCAGACCAGATGCCTCTGCAGCTTGGGGTGTGTCTACTGTCCTCTGGACACGATCATCGTATCACTATTAACCACTTCCTGCCCTAGTGAGTGTTATGTCTGGAAAGGTGGCTGGCTGATCACCTCGCCTCTAGAAATAAATAGGCCGGTATCTCTAACCCTGGCCATCATGAAAACGTGCACAGGAAACGTAGTGGTCAACAATTCATTCCTGCCCTGCTCAAATGAAGAGAAGCTCATTTTCTGAGTCTTGGGTTCATTTCCCAGGAGATCAGTGTACTGAGTTTGCAGTGGTGGGCTGCAACTCATCCAAACCACACGGAAAATGTAACACTGCTGAGGGAAAGGGAAACAGGAAACAGCCGTGTTCACGTGGAAATTAAATGTCCTGACAGATTCCACGATCATCTTTCACATATTCACCTGTGAAAAGTGCCTGGCACGTGCTAGGGCCGGTGCAGGAAGTACGGCTGTGTAGCTGGGCTAAGACTCCCATTCCTGACCCAAGGGGGCTGCTCATCACCAAGCGGGCACAACAAGCACGGAGACACGCTTGGCTTCTTTCTCCTAGACTGACATACAATAGAAAGCTTTCCTCAAGGCCACGTTGCCCCTGACTGGCAGGCTCAGGACAACAGCTCTCTGCTACTTTCCAATGCATTTTCACAAGGGTTTCACAAGAAACCAGATTTCTGCCAGGGCCCCTCCACCTGCTGGAAGAAAATATCAGGCACCAGCCAGGGTTTCTTTCCCCCTTTTGTGGGGATCCTGATCCTGCAGCCCAGCTCCAAAGCCCCTCCCCCATGCGTCTTCCCGCCTCAGCCCGAAACCCTGGTGTCTGGACTCAAAGGCTGAGCCGGTCCCGTCCCTACCCCTACAAGGCCCCGCCCTGGTGTACTAGTTGATGGACAAGACCCTCCTTTTAGAATTCCCGCTAGCTAAATGGGCGGAGGCGTGGCTTCGGGAACCGATCACAGATGGGACGGGGGTTCCGTTTGGAAGTGGAGTGGAGCCGATATGAGTTGTGCGGCGCCTGCTCCCCTTTCTCCACCTATTGTCACCTTCTCTAACCTTTAGTACGACTGGCCGTGGAAAATTTTTGTACACTCTTACCGCTCCTTCTCGCCTCAAAGCAATACTGTGAGGACCAGAAACCATGAGAGGACCCAAGTTCTCCCCGGGAAGTGGTATGTCCCTGTCCGGAGCTATTGCGCGTGCGCTATGAGGTGACGTCTGGTACTGTGGGCGGTGTGACAGGAAGCGGAAGTTCTCCGCGGATCCCGGAGGGCGGGCCTTGCTCACACAGGCTGTTTTTCCTCTGCAGCTGTTCTTTGGGTCCTTGACGCAGAAGTAAGGGGAGGGGTGGTGGTGGGCTTTATTGGGAGCGCTAGCCCGGCCGAGAAGGCGCGGGCTGATGTTCCTGTCGTCGGGTGGAGAGACACGGGTGGTGGGGTTGAGTGTTCAGGTCGAGGCTCGCGGATAAGCTAGTGGTGAGTGGGTTGATGCGACTGCTTCTCAGGTGTCATGGAGAGGCCAGGCGCTGAGGCAGTGTTTTACACTCATCTTTAGGGTAGTCCTGTGCGGTAGTGCTGCGATTAGCTTCATTGCAGACCGAGAACAAACAACAGAGAGGTCGGTAGTTGTCCCAAATTACGTAGGTAACAATTCCGAGGGATCCTTTTCTTTTCTGCGTAGCCTTTATACTTTTATAATGTACCCTATTATTTATCATGTTGTTTTGTTTCTTGTCTGGTCCCTTGTTAGGTTGTACTTTCTGAAGGAGAAGAGAAATCAAGGTTTTGTTCACTGATGTATTTCTAAATCGTAGGCGCATAGAAGGCACTCAACTTGTGTTTTAAATGAATAAAAATGGCACAGCAGGCTATCAGTTTTTTCCAGGCCAGGACTCCTTATACTGCAGTGTTAAGCTTAGTGGCGTTAGCGGAGTCCTGTTAATCCTTGAAACTAAAATGAGGCACAATACCACGTTTTGTTGAATAAAATCTTTAGGGCTTACTCGGCTTTGCCCCATGGAGGGTATCCTAGGGGTTGCTTGTGGAACCTTCTGCGGTTATTGGTGTTTCCAGGGTAAAGTGCATACGTGAGACCACTGCTTACCAACTTTAGACTTCAGCCTATCTACCCCCCTAGCTTTGTATGTTAGTTTGAGAAGCCCCGGCCTGTGGCCACAGGAGGTGAGTTCTCGGTGGGAGGCAGAGAGCTGCTGCAATAATGGCCACAGCTGAGCCAGACTTGTCTTTGAGTTCCTTGGCTCTGGCAATAAGAGAGCTTCTCTGAGGCAAGTGGGAGAAGCCTCAGCCCACAGCAAACATCCTTGGGGCAGAGGCAGGAGGCTCGCAGGACAGCAGTCCCTCTCTTTAAGTGAGAGAGAGCAAGGCTGGCTGAATTTACAGGTGCCTGCAAGGACTGTGTTCCTTTGGGCAGTTTGATTCCTATTGTGGGAGAGAGAGATGAGTCTCAGATGTATGGAGACATGGATGTGGCAGTTTACCACCATAGTGGCTGCCAGAGCAGGATGAGGCTGGGAAGGGCCACATCCAGCCACAGAGCACTTTGCTCTCCTAGCCCGTGTAAGTGCACAGCATCACATTCCTTTCTCTCACCATTGGTCTTTCTGGATTTTAGTCCCTTATCATCAACATCGCATCTGCCTCCAGGGCACATGCTGAATCTCCCTCCATCCTGACCAAGGTGCAGAAAGTAATATTTTATATTCTTAGACTTTGGAACTTCAGAGTAGTCTCCAGGTTTGCTTCCATCCAGCTCTGTTCCCTCCTTTTGACATTTTCTGCAACTGGGGCTGCTTTGTTAAGCTGCATAGAGGTGAACTGTGTCATCCTGATGCTCCTGATTGCTGTGGTTTAAATGGTTATTCTGCATGAAGCTTCTTGCTGAAACTTTGACTATCAAACAAGGAACAGTGTGGCAATCAAAGCAAATGGTGGGAAAGGAAGCACTGATGGGTCAGTGACAAGGTAGCTAGAAGGCCAATGAAGAATGGAGTACCAGCCGGGCAAGTATAGCAGTTTCCAGCTCCATATAAAATTGATAGTGCTGGGCTGTGACTCACCTGCCCTCAACTCACCTTTCCCTCAGCCCCACTTAGTCTCCTTCCCCTGAACTACATCAACAGATCCTTCTCATCCAGTTTGCTGAGAGTCTTTTCACCTCTAAGACTCAGTGTGATAATAGATGGTTTTTAATCATTTTAAACTTTTATTGTGGTAGTAATTAATATCCATTATAAAAAATGAGATAATACATTTTGAAACACTATTTGGCATCTCCTTTCTTCAGTGGAGATCTTACCTTTCTAATAGGACAGATGTGATAAAGTACTTGTTAGGTTGAGTCTTCCTTGCCTTCACTCAGTCATCTTCATAGGAATTCTTTTTTTTTTTTCTGTTTGTTTTTACCCCTCGGTTTTTAAAAAACTGTTTTTAGATGATGTCATGAAGAGAGTGAGTATTAAATTGTGCCATTAATGGAAGAAAATCCTATCTTAAAAAATGCATTTATTTACAGAGCTGTGTTATATCATCGTTTGGGCCCTCTGCTGGAAAAATAGAATCAAGTCTGAAATAATGCCTATTTATTGTATCCTCTAGTATTACAGATGTAGAACAATATGGTGTCATACCCTATCAATATAAAATATCTTCTACCTGCTTTATGATACATAGTAGTGACTGCTTTATCAGAGCTGTTTTTCATGATGTTATTCTAGAATGTTTTCAGGTGATGATTAAGAAGCTAATAAAAAATGGAGCCAGGCACCACAGCAATAACAGAACTTTGCTGTTTTCTGAGTATTATTTTTCTTTTCTTTTTTTAATGGAGTGTTCTGGATGTCTTTAATTTTGTTCAGATGACTGCAGAACCTAGAAAAGCCGTTGCTGCTATTGATGCATGACATACTGCTCTTATTGTGTGTGTGTGTGAGTGTGTATATATAATTTTTTGAATATTTGGAGACTTAACTGTGCTGTCAGCTTTGGAAAAAGTTATTCCAGTTTACCATGTTGAGTAGGCATTGTACAGAAATAGCCATATTGGTCTAGAAACGTTAAACCTAATTTTTTTCCATTTATACAGGGGTAATGCATTAATGTATTAAATATGTAAAATCTTATCTACATGGGTTTGATTACAGAAATTAAGAAAGTATTCTCTAAATTAAAAATGATATACAAATAAAAAATAAATTGAAATCACCATTCAAGGGTAGCCAATGTCAACATTTTAATAAATGCTCTTCTGGACTTGGTAGATGTACATATTGCTTAGGATGAATGGGAACACACTGCCTTCACTTTTTAAAATTTGCTTTTAAACATGTTAAACATTAAAAACTCCATACCATTTTTAAAGCTATGCAGCATGTCCATTTTTGTGTCATGTTTTGATTTTCATTGTTTTTTTTGGCGGGGGTGGGGGGTTAGTACCAGGGATCGAACCCAGGTCCTTGTGCTTGCAAGGCAGGTAGCAGAACCACTGAGCTAAATCTCTGGCCCTGTTTTTTGTTTTAACAGTCACCTTTGCTAGGTTTAGTTGTTTCCAAATATTTTAATTTTGGCAATGACCACAGTGAACCTCTTTTTAGCTTCATGACAAATTTCTAGGGATTGAATTCTGGAGATAAAAGAGGTGTCTTTAAACACAAGTCGTACATCTTTCAGTAGGGGAAACCAGATTCCATGTATCAAATCCACAGGATTTTCAGAGTGCCAAGGCAACTGGCTGAGCTACCAGGCCACGTCACTTCCCCAGGGTGCAAGAGTGACTATTATAAGGCTGGTGATATTGTTCTTGTGGCTATATTCACTGATCTTGACCTTCCTAATTCTGTCTTTGTAGACCTCCATCCAGCACGGCAGGATGGCCACATCCCAGGTGAGTTTCTAATTTACCCCAACTTTGTCTCCCAACTTGAGCACCTTTTGGAAATGTGTATAGTAAGCTTCAGTAAGCCAGTTATCCCCTCTGTTCTGGCTATTTTGTTTTCAACTTGTTGGCTGCCTTAGGGGAAAAAGACAGATGGACAGGGATAGGGAGAAACAAAGAAGAAAAGACAAATTTTCACTCCTTCCTTTGGAATCTATACCTCACTTTTGCTTTTCTCCTTAAATATATATACTCATTCAGCCATTTGCCTTTCTTCACTTCCAGACCCCTTTTGCTTGTTCTCACAGTTAAAATAAGATTAATTTGTGTTTAATGTTTTAATGCGCATATACAAAACTAGTAGCAAAAATTATCTATTTCTCCTTCCCCTGGTAACCATAGTCTTCCTCAGATATGCTCACTGTTAACACATTGGATGTTAATAATGGTGTAGATGTATTTATATTAGTTGAATTAACCAAAGATATGTGTGTGTGTGGTTATACACATGTCTATATGTTCATACATAACTGCCTCATCCTGTCATATCAATTTTTACCACCTGACTATATTCATAATGGTGTTCCTTGTCACTTTATGAAGAATAGTTTAATTCCAATTTCTTAGTGTGGATGTAACAGTTACTTGTCTGTTGGTGGATATGTAGGTTTTTTATTTTCTTTTAATGGTATAAACTGTATCTCATGAGCAAATTTCTGCATATCTGTTCTGTGGTACAGGTGTTTATGATGTATGTACCAGGACTTTGGATTTTTGAGACAAAGGTTCACACTACAAGTTGGCCCTAAGTCTGTACTAATTACTACTTTCAAAAAAATTTTAAGACCAGATAATTTCCATGTTCAAGGTTCCCAGGCTAATGAAAGATGAAAAGGAATCCAATTCAGCCTATGAATTAACTTAAGCTTGTGTGATAAAAGCATTACAAAGAGAAAATTATAGATGAGTTTCACTAAAGAATAGAGATGTCAAAATTCTAAAACCATATTCTGAATAGAGCATTAATGAACCAAATTGAGCATTGCTGCAGTAATTTTCACTCATTGTAACAAGTTTAAATAGAAGTTTTGTTCAACAAATGAAGAAAAATAATTCTCTTAAAATGTCCCCAATTCTTCCTCCCTTAGTTTTTCATATATTCTTTTAGAGATCATGTATGCTTGTCTATCTGTCTAGATACATCAGTCCATTTTTCTTTCACCTGCTACATGAGTTTATAAGTGCTGGGGTTTTTTTCTTTATACTGCATTGAGGATTTTAGAGTTTAGAAGATGTTTTTGTTGTTTTTTTTTGGTTTGATTTTGTTTTTACTTCTTTTGAGATAGGGTCTGGCTTTTTAGTTTGGGCTGGCCTTGAACTTACTATGTAGCCCATACTCATGATGATCCTCCTGCCTCAGCTTCCCAGGTGCTGAAATAACAGCTGTATGTCACCACACCTGGCAGTTTATTAATCTTTCTATCCATGGGACTTAACAATTTGGTCTCTATTCAGTAAATATGTGTTAAATGAATGAATTTCAGGGGTAACAAATTTCTGACACTATCCATTTCTTCTATAAAGTTTCAAGTAATTTTAGTTATATGAATATTCTGTATTTAGTAGTACCCCTCACCACACCACAGCTTTTCTTTTTGTGGTTTCACTTACAAACACTCAACTGTGGTCTGAAAATAGTAAACGGAAAATCTCAGAAAACCTTGCATACCATTCTGAGTAATGCAATGAAATCTTGCTTCATCATGCCAGGATACCAGTAGTCCCTTTATCCAGTATATACACAAGATAGATACTACTCATTCATTAGTCACTTAGTAGCTCTCTGATTAATCAGATGAACTGTCAAACTATCAGACTTTGTGTTCATGTAACCTCTATGTAGTAATCTGACATTACAGCACAAGGCCTATATCATTCTACTCATTTTATCTCATATAGGCACTGTCATCCCACTGTCCATGGACTTAAGCATCTACTGAGGAATCTTGAACATGTTCCCTGCAGATAATGGGAAACTACTTTGCCAAAACATGTCTAGCAAAAGACACATTACTGAAATGCATAGTTTTTTAAAAAGTGAGATGATAAGGCCAGGTCACCTGGATTTTAATGCCTATTTCCAAGCCATGTGGCATGGAATAGTTACAGTACACTCTGTGGACCTCACAGTCCTCATCCGTCAGGTTTGTCCTAGGGTAGTGGTGAGGATCTAACTCTTTAGTACACATAAAGGACTTTGAATGGGCACAGAATAAGCCGTCAGCACGTAGGAGGTGTCAAGTCCCGCTCCCCCAGGCTGATCCCTTTGTGCTGAAGAGGAATGTGCTGTTACAGGAATCACTGAGCTTCAGGGATGTGTTTGTGGACTTCACCCTGGAGGAGTGGCAGCAGCTGGACTCTGCTCAGAAGAACCTCTACAGGGATGTCATGCTTGAGAACTACAGCCACCTGGTGTCCGTGGGTGAGGGACCGCTGCACAGAGTGATGTAGAATGCCCCCACTTGTGTCTCCCTCAGCACCTGCTGCAAGTGCAGGGGTGTTGACGCCTCAGTGAGTTTGGGCGGGAGGCCCACTGTCAAGTATTCCTAGTCCATTTGAACACTGGACGGGATACTTGTGCTGTCGCCCTCTAGCCCTCTAGATGAATGGCCGTGTGTGTGAGGCATCCCCGAGGCTGTCCCATCTTCAGCCTGTGGGGAGTGGTCCCCTGTCTGGAGAGCCTCCAGCACTAATAACAAAGGGCTCTGTCATTTCCCCTGGCAGGGTATCTAGTTGCCCAACCAGATGTGATCTTCAGCTTGGGGCAAAGAGAAGAGGCCTGGGGGGCAGACAGAGGAACGCAGACGAGGAGCTGTCCAGGTGAGCACACACCAGGTGAGTCGGGCCAGGGAAGCAGAACCCAATTGTCGCTGAGGACTAGGCCCCTGGGATGCTCACAGACATGTGGACGTGACCCAGGCTCGGCGAACAAGCTGTTGTCCTACCCACATGAGGCCATCACCTGTCAGCCTTTTCCAGTCTTGGTGCTCTTCACCTGACGTCCAGACAGAAAGTGGCTTTGTTCTGAGATCGCATCTCTACCTTGGATTTGCTAGTGCCAAGTGCCAAACCTCTTCTCATTCCTTTCCCCTCCTTTCTGAGAGCTTTGAGGGATTTCTCCCTTTCTTGAGCTTTGGTGTTTTCTCAGTGTGAAATTGGGGCTCATTTTCAACCTCAGGGAAAGTATCCTGCCTGATTTATTGCAGTCGCTATGGACCAGGAAGCTTTGCTAGCGACCTTTAACTGTGCCAGGCCAAGTGCACACCGTGTCCTCTTCTACCCTTGCTTGGAGGCCAAACACTGCAAACTTTTACACACTTTGTTTTCTCTTTTGCTTTCTTCTCAGATTGTTACAAATCTAACTTGTGACTGCCCGTTATCAGATTCCTTCTCTTAACCATGTTTCCTTCCCACTCAAGTTTTGTTTTCTGTATTATCTCATTATTTATTGATACAAAATAGAAATAAACTTGAGAGGCCATTGCCCCCAGGTGAAATTTTTCAGTGATCCCTTCAGTCCTGGGGAGAGCTGCTTTCTTCCTTGGTTGGTTGATTATTTTTGCTCTGGCCTGGCTATGCAGAACCAGCCATAATCTTGATCTCTTTTTCTCCCATTTGTGGTACCCTCTCCATGGGCCCATCCCAAAGAAGTGTGTTGAAACAGTCTTACTCTTCAGCGTGTGCCCTGTGGACCAGCAGCCTGGGCTTTGGGCATAGGACTCTTAAGTGGAAGTGTAGACTCTCAGCACAGCCTCCCAAGATTGCAGAGTCAGAATCTGCATTTGAAGAAGTTCTCAGGAAAGCCCTGGGCTCAGGAAAGCTGAGAACCATTGCTTGTTAAACACGCATCTCAGAGCATCAGTTGTCTTTAGCTGTGGCCCTACAGACATACAGGTGGCTCCCTGGCTGGCTTCTCCAGAGCCCAGTGTTACTTGGCAAATGCATCCACTCTCTAAAGCCTCTGAGGCTGGACTGTGGGGCTCCCGACACTGCAGCTTTTCCTGGGTGTGTTTTGTTTCAGCTTTAATGTCCTCCTCCTGGCTCAGTGAAGTCCCATGTCTGCTGCTGATAGATGCCTAGAATTTGCTGTGCTGATGGCTTGCTTTCTTATATCTGGCAGTACCTGGAAATGTAATGATTGTGCGTGTGGTTCTCATTCCAGTGGTTTTTTTTTTTTTTTTTTTTGTTTC